ACCAGCATTCAATAGTATGAACACCAAACACACCCTTATCACTCTACTGTAACAACACGAACACCCAGCTGAGCCGGACTGATCCCAGCTACGTACTTGGAGTCCCACTGAGACATGGGGACCGTGGCATGAGCTGGCGCTGGGCTGCCAGCATCACACCAGGAGATCAGGACACCAAGTTCAGATAGAAGAAGGTACCAAGACTGCCTGGGAATCCCAGGGTAGCACGTCCCCTGAACCTACACTGACCCAGGCTCCACATCCCCATCTCCAGGAGTGCCCCCTCCGGCTCCTGCCAGCCTAGATCTCATGGCTCCTGCTGGCCCAGCAGCCAACACCAGCGAGGTGCTGCAGAAGCCTCAGTCCTGAGTCAGCCTGAGGAGATTGGGATCCGTGTCCCCATGCTCCCTGGACACCTGGGGGGCAGGGGATGGGGCAGAGGCACCAGGAAGGGGGGTGGTTCGCTTGCTAATCTCACCTCCTTGCACCCATCAGCTCTTCTGGGGAAGCAGCAGGCTACATGAGCCATGGCCGACCCATTCCCCTGCCCGTCCCGGTCTCTCCTCCCTGGCCCTGCAGCAAGGTGCTCTCACACACACATTCTGGCCAGGGGGGCTGGGCAGAGCTAATGGCCTGGGACTGGCTCTTCCCACTCACTCAGCCTGACCCTGCATCCTGTGCGGAGCGGGGGCAAGCAGGGCAGCGGGGGTGCAAGGACAAGGGGAGAGAGCGGGCGAGCCGCTGATCCAGGAGCAAGGTTCTGCCTGCTGGTATCTCTGCCAAGGCCCCTGGGATTAGCTGGTCTCCAGCAGCGAGCACTGGGTGTGCCGGCTGGAGATGCAGCAAAGCCAGCTGGTGACGCACACGCTGCTGTGCCCCCAGCTGGCCGTGTTCCAGCCCCTCGCCCCGGGACAGGCCCTTGGGGTCCATCCCAGGAGCAGAGTGAGGCCCTGCCGGGTGCTGGGGACAGGGAACCGGGTCCAGAACCTCCCGGCTCCAGGGGCAGCCCAGCCCAGCAAAGACCCCACTCCTGACCACCCCGTGGGTCCGACACTGCCCCAAATCCCACGCTACCGATGGCAGGAACCCAGGCAGCCTGCTCTCCCCTCCCCAGGACGGGCGCCTCGTGGCCTGCCCAGTGTGCAGATGGCTCTGACCCTGGAGCTGGAGCCGTGAAGAGCTCCAGGGCCTGGAGAGCAGCGACCTTCAGCGAGAGCAGGGAGGCTGCAGTTTCCAGGAGAACAAGCTCCCAGGATTAAGGGGTGGGCACAGAGCCCATGAGCCGGAGCCAAACGTCCCGGCAACCCCCGTGTCCATCCGGCCCCACCTGCACTGACAGTGGGGCCAGCCCTCGGCTAGGGCCCATGGGGACACAGGGGATGGGGAGGCAGAGCCAGCACCCCACACGAAGGAAGGATGAATTATTCCCAAGGCCAGCGGAGGAAGCTCCAGGTACGGTGCTTAGCCCTCCCCATCCCCTCAGGGGTCCCCAGCCAGGGAGTGAGGGGCTGCCCCTCCGCAGAGCAGCTCCCAGGCCTGCAGTCTGCACGCCCAGACTGAGCACCCAGACGCTGCTGCCGAGGGAGGCGTCTCCACTGGTGGGGCAGCCCACCCACTCCAGGAGCCCTGCGGAGCCAGCACCATCGTCAGCCCCAAATAACCTCAGATGGGAAACGTCCCACTTGGCCTCCTCCCAGCCTGCCATGCTCGTGTCCCGCCTCGCACCCTATCCCCCATCCTAGGGAGCGAGAGACCCTGGAGAGGGTCCAGCTCCTGTCACTGCCTGCCCCGGCTCTCCCAGTGCCCCCCACGCCCCTGCCCCGGCTCTCCCAGTGCCCCCCACGCCCCTGCCCTCCCAGTGCCCCCCACACCCCTGCCCCAGCTCTCCCAGTGCCCCCCACGCCTGCCCCTGCTCTCCCAGTGCCCCCCATGCCCCTGCCCCGGCAGTGTGGATTTGGGCTCCACCACTCCTGATGTCTGGTGGGGAGCATGGGAAGCCCAGGGGCAGAAGGAGATGCCTGGCTGGCCCTGCCCCTCAGTGTCAGCCCCAAGGGCCCGTCTCCTCCAGCAGTACACTGACCCCTCACGGCCCCAGGCCGAGCTGGGCACAAGGGCAGGGCCCACCAACCCGGCCCATCCGGGCACAGGGCTTTACCCAGGGCCCAGCCAGGCCCTGGCCTCACAGGTAGCTGCTGTCGACGCTGCCGGTCCCATTGCCCAGTTGGCTCTGGGCTCCGGGCGTCTCGTGCGCCGGGGTGGTCGTGGTGCCCCGCTTGGCGTGCAAGGAGGTGGCGGAGCAGCGGGAGGATCCAGTTGCCGGGGAACAGGGCTCGGGCCCCGCTCCGTGCCCCCCCCGGCAGCAGTGCCCCAGCCCCCTGCGGAAGGGGATGGTGAAGAGGCCGTAGGTGAGGGGGTCCAGGCAGGCGTTGAGGAGGCCGAAGATGAAGAGGACGTGGGTGAGGGACTGGGAGACTGTCTCCTCCATGGCGCGGGGGCAGAACCAGTACCAGAGGCCCAGCAGGTAGTAGGGCGTCCAGCACACGATGAAGGAGCTGACGATGACCAGGCTCAGCTTCAGCACACGCAGCCGCGCCCGCGGGATGTTGCTGGTGGAGCGGCGCAGGGCCACCTCCTTGGAGACTAGAGCGACAGGGAACAGGGCTGTCAGGGCGGGGTGCAGCCCCCACACGCCACGTTAGCCATGGGGGGAGCTGGCAAACCCCAGGGCCCCGCCCCCCGCGGCCACACGCCACTCAGGGTGCTAGCCGGTGGCATCTCCTGAGAGGACCGGCCGGCCACAGGGAGCCCCGGCCACGAGGGCCCAGCTGTGAGCCCCAGGGCCAGGCTCACTTCACCGCCCCACACGGGGCAGCCGGCTCTCTGGGAAACCGGGCCCCACAGACGAGCCTCGGGGCAGGGACCTTGGGCCTGAGTCTGGAACTCGGGACCGGTCCAACCCTCAGCATGAGCCAGAGCTGCCTCAGGGCCCCCCAGCCCTCCCCAGCTTCTCCCCAGCCCCCCCACAGCCCCATGTGTCCCCAGGTCCCCCCAGCTTCTCCCCAG